ATTTACATCGTCACTTCTAAAATGTCATCTTTAATTGACGAAGAAGGTGTGAGCATTAAAAGTATTCGGTGGTTAAATAGGCTTGGTGAGATTCTACTTGAAATGCGTAATCTTGACAAAGCTTATCGTTGTTTTCAAAGAGCATTGAGTATGGAGCGTCTCCTTTACCAAACCAAACCAAACATGAATACGATGACATCTTTATATTTTCTTGGGACGACGTCATTCTACTTGTCAATGTGTAGGGAAAGCAAATTTTACTTCGAATCGTTGGTGCAACTGTTTGAATCATTTGGTAGACCTAGCGCTAGATTAATGGACGTTAAGAAAGCCTTTTTGTACTTGGCGTTGGTGAGCCAGATATTGGGAAATTCTGCGGAGGAATCTGTGTGTTACTTCGAGAAAGGTATAAAAGCAACCACAGGAAGCCGAAATGATGCAGAATTAAAATTAGATTGTTTGCTCTACTGTTACTTAGCGGATACATGGCATGCTCAACACAACCAAGAGCAAGCTTGGAAGTCTGCTTTGGAAGGAAAAGCCTGCATAAGAAAAATTGTTAGAGTTCAAGTCAGAGCACAAACGACTTGTCATCTTGCTAACACCTTGGCTAAAATACAGAAAACAAATGAAGGAATTGAAATATTGAAGGAAGAAGTTCAAGAACTCACTTCCCAGTCTCAGATGAAAGAAAAAGCCTTGTGTCTGACGAAGCTTGGTAAACTTTGTTTTGAGCAAGGCTTGGCGTCAGATGCCTAGAATTATTACAAACAAGCGCTAGAGATTATGGATATGCAGGGTAATAAAGCTGTTTTTGTCATCTTGGAGTGTCGCATTGGCATTTCAAAAGCCATTATGACGAATAACAGGGTATCTGAAGCAAAGACATTTTTAGATGAAGCTTTCATTTTAGCCAAAAAATTGCCTGCGAGTTTGGAAAAAAATATTTATGTTGAAGATATGGGAAAATTCTATGAAAGTCGTGTTCAAGATATGGAAAAATTCTGCGAAAATCTTGGTTACATCCGTCGTGCTCGAGAATGCTTTGATGAGGCCTTAAGAACGTACAGACAGCTTTCAATCGTCGTCAAGAAACCTCCGTTCAGGGAGGTTTTAATAGAGCTGAAGCTTGGAAAATTAGCAAAGGACGTTTGTGCTATTGTCTCAGTCGACCCTGAAATTGCGATGCAGGCTCAGCGAAGTCATTATGATCGCGCGGCTGAAGCAGTACGGCAACATGTAGCAACCGGACAAGTTGACTCGTCAACTGTTGAAATGTTTTTAAAAGTGGCTGTAGAGTACCTGTCAGTGGACTCAAGTGAAATGATAAGACTTTTGTTGGAAACTTTATGTGTTAGCGAAATAGTATACGGAAAAAATAAATCAAATGAGGCGGGCATCAAGACACTTGAAGACATACTTTTGCACACCAACCTCACGAAAGGCGATTTGCAACCCTTGAACTCAAAAGAGCTTCTAATATGCAAGGACATGGAACTGCATTTATCAAACTCATTTTATGAAAATATATCCGCGAATTTGATTATGTTGGCCTTTGGTTCCATTCAATATCCCGTCGGTATTAATACTATCGAATGTGCTTACAAATTCCTTTTATCTGCTCCGAAGGACAAGGCTTCAACAGACAGTACCGCAAAAGCAGTCGCTGCCGTACGTTTTACTTGTCTAGGCATATTATTCCATAATTCAGGTGACTTGGAAAAAGCCGAGACGTCAATCAGGTTGGCAAGTCAGTTATTTAGCGAAATTCCAGAAAGTGTTGAAAGAGAAAAACTACCGTTCAAAACAACTTGCGACACCATGAAAGAAATATTATCATCGAAGACGTTTTCACCATCAGATAAATATTCTTTAATGAACGAAGTTTGTGATAACTGAGATAGATTCTGGGAACATTCGAAACTTCACAAGGAAGGTCAAGATACCTTGGCTGAAGGCTCAAAAATTTCGGAGAGGTGTAGCAATGGTCCGCAAAATGTAGAGTTGTTCATTCCATGTTTCAATTGTGTGAAGCTTCTAGAATTTCATTCTTCAGATCCTAAGACTGTAGACCTTCCATCGCAAACAGTGTCACAAAGTAATCTCCCTGTTGAATTCAAATCATTTCCTGATGCTTTACTCAATCCAGAATCATCCAACCTGGACGTAAAACAAATTTTACTGCATACTTATTTAGATGCTCTCTTGTATAACATGAAGAAAGGCAATGGTCATCAGGCTGTAAAAATATACACATTTCTTCAAGCTCATGGGTTATTTTTTTATGAAAACTATCCCTATGATAGTGTTGAAAAGTTAATCAACTATGCGATTAGAGAGAAGGAAAAAAAACTGTTTGATGTTGGCATTACACTGCAAAAGATCGAATTCTAGTGTAGAATAATATTCTTATTTTTTAGATTATTTTTCTTATTTTAAGTAAATATTTCTTATCAAGAAATGTTTCAAGAAAAAAAATCTAGTTTTAAGAACAAAAATCTTAAAGTAAGAAAATATAACTAGGCAAGAATATTCGAGAGAATATTTTTCTTATTTTAAGAATAACATTTTTCCATCCTAGAATAATATTCTTATAATTAGAAAAACAATCTTGAAATGATGATATTGAATTGAATTAAACCTAGTTCTATTGTATATCTTTCAGTTTTTTTTGTCAAATTTGAAGCTGAACGGCTCTGTCCTGAATTGTCGCAGTTTCAACATGGCACTATCGTAATGAATTTGCCGGTATATGGCCAATGAATTGTTATTGAAAAATAACAATTATACATGAATTCAAATCATTTGCAACAATCGTCTATCTACACTTTAATGAAGATGGCATGATCCACCGCAAAAAATTATGTGTAAATTTACCAAAGATTTTGCGTATAAATATCACCACATGTTATGACATCACGATTAATGCTGTCACATGTTAAGACATGCGATACGTACTGTAATAAACCATAAAAATTTTATATTTAAATTGCAATTGGCATATAACTTTTTTAGAAAATCTATCTCATTATTCGCTTATAAGAATTTTCATCATTTTTATAATCATTTTTTGGCCAGAGACCGCCAGATTAATGCTTCCTACAATTTCAAGCTAGCGCTACGATTTTGGGAGCGCTTTTTGATGTATCTATTTTAGAAGAAAAGGTCACGCGCGCAATGAGTTGTGGGATATCGTGTATCAAATTTCAAGTGTGATTTGCAAATTTTCGACTCTTTCGTTTGAGTATATTTTGCCCAAGAAGAGTCCATGGTATTTATCTTATTTTGTACTGGATAAGTGACTCCGAATCCTGCCGAATGCTTATTGATCTCAGGTATGAAATATTATTGTTTATATCATATAATTATAACGTACATCGACCGTATTTACCATTTTATCTTGTGGCTGTTGGCCTGTTGTAGTGTTGTGGCTGCTAAAATTTGAATTTGCGCGCGAGGTTTTATATATTGAATTATTTCATTTCAATGCCGTCAAATGTTAGTTAAAATCAACAATTCAAATTTTGAATAAACACATTATAGTAAATACTGGGTTTCACTTGTTTGACAAAACTCGAGAAAGCATGTTTGAACCCACATAGTATATAAAACAATATGTTAAAGGAGATTGGCAATATATTTTGACATCTAATTTTTTTTAAGATTTTGTTAGATAGTTAATAGAAAAGGTGTTTTTAGCTTCCAAAAATCGTACCCCTTGCGCTTAAAGATGTTTGCAAGAGTCAATTTCATATTGAAAGTCCGCCATTTTGAAATCCGATGAGAAAAAATTAATTTCGTAAATACAATTCGCATGTGACGTCATAAGCAGGGGAAGAAACTTGCGTTGTTTTCGCATAATATTGTAAACATGGAAGCTGCCAACGAAAAGGACCTTAAAGGATACGAAATACAGCCATACATGTTCGAACCAAATCCAGATGACGAAATAGAAAGTGAAGATTCGGATTGTGAATCAACTTCGACAGAAGATAACCCCAATGAAGAATTTGAAGGAATTAATTCGTGGCGACTAACAACTCTTCAGTGGTGTAAATGTGGTCAGTGTCAGATTATGACCAAAACAATCGAAAGCTTTTGTTGTCATGAAAAAGCCGTCGAATACGATGAATATGATGCAAAGCTAATATCAGCTCAGAATCAAGGGTTAACATGTATTTCATTATTGCCTGCTTTCGTGCAAAACATGTTGTCGCAAGATGTGCTCGAAGTTGATGTCGCACAATACTTGGAAGACAATTCTCCGCATGATGATGACGACCTTGCTAGAACGCACAAACTTTATCGGCTATCTGCATATCGACGATGTTCGAGATGGATTTTTCAAATTTTAGGCAAGAAATGTCGGAGAGTGTTTCCATCTTGTATTTATACATGTATACGAAAGAAATTCGCTTCTCCTGATGGACTGTACACGCACTTTAAGTTTGCATCATAAAGGTGGGGTCAAGTTGATGAGAGTTGGCAGTCACGGATTTCTAGGACTAGGTTTGATGAATGTTTCAATCAGTTAACTTAACTGAAATTAATTTAATTTAAAGTAAATAAGTCATACATGATAGTGCTCGGAAAAATCTAGCCAACATCCGTATGTTGTCAACTCTCATTCGATCCAGCTACATAGGCTTCGATAAAAATTGTATCATATGAGTGAATATCTTTCAATTTTATTTACTTTATAACTAAACGTTCTTACAAGCCTCTTTTTTACAACCGCAAGCAGACTTACACTTGCGAAGTTCATTTTTACATTTGCATCGTCTTGTGGCGCATTTTCCCGAACAATCGCAATGGTCTTCGTCTACGCCTGGCAAAGCTGGCTGAGTAAATCGACTGTGCTTGGCCGCCACAATATCGGATTTTGGCTTTGGTTGTTTACCATCTAGATACTTTTCCACTAGAGTGACGGGTTCTTCCGGAAGGAGTTCTTTGGAATGGCTTATTGCTTTCTTGAGGGTGCTAAAGTCGTTTCGGAGCTTGAGGCATTCTTCTTGAATGGTCTGTATATATTCTATTATAAAATAAATACAGGTTAAACTGTTTTCATATTAAACATTTTATGTACAGCCTTTGTATAATATACATCAATTGATATGATCAATTATGTAATACATGATAGTTTTATGTCAAGTAAACTAAAAAATAGCATGCCAAATATGATTATTTCGTGTTGTGTGTGGTTGCACCAGGGTTGCACTTACTGTAGGTCGGTTGTTCTTTTAAAGGTTTAGCCACAGCCTTCTCCCCTTTGTTAGCTTTTGGGTAAACAATTGACCACCGACTGACCCCTTCAGCTGTAGTTGCTTGGCTCCTATTCGCGTTTTCATTATAATGTAGATTGGAGCAGAACAACCTAATTTGGGAAGTAAATAACATTAATTTTGTAAGACCGAGGTTAGTACTATGTAAAATTCCTTATGCTACGCAGTAACAAAATAGGAATGAATAAGGCTGGGGTACAAAGCTACGAACCTGGCCATGAGTGAGTGGTAAGGGTAGTATACATTCTTCGACGCAAATGTGTTGTCGAGTGAGTGTTTTGCTTCTAGTCCGGACGTCTGATGATAATTTGATAATTTTCGTATGGCTGTGAGTAGTCTTGGTCTAGTGATAATCTCGATCAACTTCTTATAAATCGCCGATCCTATACAAATATCGGTAGTATCGCTTGTTAATATATATACATACAAGTTCGCCCTATTTCGATGTCTTGAATCTGGCTGTAATTAACATATGTTCTTCGGCTGGGTTTTTTTTTCAAATTCCGGTACTATTGATGCTGGAAAAGGCCATAGACCTTATATATATATTAATATATCATGTAAGTCATACTACCTGTTTGTAACCATTGCCTTTCTATTGTTTCGTGGGTACACTTCATAAACAACTTATTCTCATTGTGGACATGCACATCCACAATATGATTCAGCAAACTTAGCCACTTTTCCTCCCTTTCAACAGGTGATTGGCTTGAAATGGCCACCCAATACATTAGGTTGATGATAGACTATAGAAAACAGTAATTTACTAATTGCGCACAACAATTTAAACAAGTGGGCTACGACTACGTGCGTTTCCATTCATCAACACCGCCATGTTTTAAGATAGTATTCTAGAACTGAAATTGAACGTTAAACATTCGCCTTAAAAGGCTTTTGAGAATATCTGTAAAGTTCTAAAGAATTACAGTTGTTATCTACTGTAACTTAAGGAATAACAGCTGAATAATAATAAGAAAAGCAACTCAAGAAGAGAGCAAGTGCGGCTTGAGTGTGCTACACCAAGTAAATTGTCAAAAATATTTAAACATCCCTTTTAGACACTTACGCCAATCCAAGGCTTTAATTTTCGAAACTTCTTTATTTTCACAACCTTCAGCAACCGTTTTTTTTCTCCTAAAAAAATGCATCAGCATGTACAATAAGTGATTTGTACAAGTAATATTATAGCTAGTAATTTTACCCGGCTGGTGTCCTACACTGGGAAAATCCCCATTTATTTGCCCAATAAACGAAAGCGGAATGTTAGTCACGGCCAATTGATTCATTTATTTCTCACATGCCGAAAAGTTGTACATTTCAAAACGTTGTACATTTCAAGTCGTACATTTCAAATCTTTAAAATGCAATGCTGTATTCGTTTTACAAATTCACAATACTCAAGTTTGCCGAGGTATTTCAGTATTACAATTCAATACGGTATGTTACAGTAATAACTGATTCGTAATTAGAACTATAAATTATGTAATGGTATTTATTAATTACGTTGTTTACGACTTTAATACAAGCACTCACGCTTTCTAGTCAATTTCATATCGCGCACAGTAAGTCCTATTATAGTAAGTTTATTTCTTGTGATTTTGTATACAGTAAACAGTACAATACCTTTCGCTACATGCCAAACGTCGTATGCGTGTTCAATATCCGGCTTTTCTTGTGCGAGGTAAGACGAAACCTGAGAATGCCTATCTGTGACCAGCTTTTTCACGTTTACGTCAGATTGCTCCAAATACGCCGTTTGTCGTTTTAGGGACTCCAGTTCCATCGCATTCGAATTCTTTACTTCGGTGCTCTACATTAATTAACATTCATAATGGTCGTAAAAATAAAGTTACGATCTTTCTAAAAGTGCCAGTTTATAATAGTTTATACGGGTAAACCACATATAAATAATAAGTAATTGTCTAGTTATAATCACTGCGCAGTTCTCAGTTCTAAAATGTTGTATTTCGCGAGGTATCAGCTGATGAGAAAGATCTTGACTCAATCTTTACGACCATAATTATGGAAACATGCATGCAGGCTTAATTAAATCTAGGAGTCTAGGTGTCAATTTCAGATAGATTGTATATTTCTTCAATTACCTTAATAACTTGAGTGTCCAGAATTATATTTCTGTCAACATCTAAGCTACTCCCTGAGCCGAACAGTCCACTGTGCCCAGGACTGTCCACTCGCATGTCAGACGCAATACAAATTGGGTTGTCCTTAATGCTATTTAGCAAACACTGCTGCTGCCTTTTCCAGACGTTGAAAACAGCTGGGATAACATAGCCGGTCAGAAGATTGGAGAACTCCCTTCTCTTGAAGCACATAATTTTTAAGAAATCGAATAATCTAAGCGCTTTTGCACATTCCATGCCTGTACATAGAACACTTGAAGCGATCATCAAATGTAAGACGGGCAATCGATTGCGTAAAGGACCTGTCGACCAAGTAAAACTATGGGAAGAATCAGCACTACAATGCAAAGCTATCTTGCAATATGTTCCAATGTTGCGTTGTAGTGATACAGTGCAAGTAGATCTACATGTCGAACAGACCCCGAACCTTTTAACAATTGACTGTTCGAATACAATAAACTTCATTTGATCATGTGGGAGCTTGTTGCTAGACAGCGTTATTAACTCGCCTCTATCGCCGTTAATTCCTTCGTCACTTTCGAGATCGCTTTCATCTGACTGATACTCTTCGTCTGAGGATGAGTGTTTGTCAATCGGGTCTGAATCTAATTCTGGTTGGGATGTGTTGGGTACAAGTTCATTTTCAATCAGAGCTGTCTGTGTGGAAGAACAAACTAGTACTTTGGGCTTCGCAGCGGCAATATATTGCAATAAACACTCATTTGTTAAATAGGTTTGAGTTTTTTTTGACGTTGTCTTTGTCTTATTACTTGTAACAGTAGCTGGAAGTTTGCATGTTTGAGTCATCTTATTTTTTTTTGGCCACTGATTTACGAACTGTTCGTCGGTCTGGGTGTAAGATGATTTAATCGTTACTGTCACTGGTTCCTGGGGCATGAAACTTTCGCAAATTGTTTCATTGCGTGTTACTGTTAGGATTTCTTCATGACTCTCTGAGTGGATTGGTTGTTCACAAATAACATTGGCATTTTCAGCAACCGTGTCTGCATTGAGTATATCTTCAACTTCCTAGTAAGAAAACAATATTTATTTTTAACACAATATATGATTGCAGCTAAAAACATATATATTTGTCTAAGCCTTTGAGAGAAAACAAAACAGTTTTAAACGTATAAACATTGATAGACGCGTGCTTATAATTAAATATTAAAACGTATAGCCTACCCTTCGTCTTGACAGAGTTCCAACTGATCTTTTCACATTTTGTTCTTCACTCGTTCCATCCAATGGTTTATTTTCTGTTGGAACAGCATCATCCTTTAACTTTAATCTTCGTTTCCCAGAAAATTCAATCGATTTTAAAAATTCTGGCGAATTGGCAAGAATGTATGAGTCGTTTCTGAAATGTAAAGAGCAGATCGCGTGCTCTTGGTTGGGTTAAAACTTTTGCGTTTGCAAAAGTTTATCCAGACATCCCGCCGTTTTTGTTCCTCAGGACCTTTTGACGCTTTTGGAAATTCAAAAAAATGCAACAAACCGTCTTCATTCTTTTGGCTATCGCTTGAACAGCCATAAACTGGACAATACATGTCTTATATTTATACTGTAAAGATACTACGACTCAAAGCGTTACCCTGCTTGTGACGTCACAAAAAAATACTTGCATAAATTAGCATAAAACATTTATAATTCAGTATTACAAAATGGCGGGGGTAGTGTAGTTTAGAGCTAAGCCCAAGTGCGTTATTACGTAAATAAAAGGCTTTCAAAGGTGTCATTTATTGTTTCATGACTAGTTTGAGTAAAATCTTAAAGAAAAATGAGATGTCAAAATATATTGCCAATCTCCTTTAATATGAATATAAATATGGCTACATTGCTGATTGCTACAAGCCCAGTATTAAAGCCAAAACATGAACATTATTTGAGAGTATTAAACTTGAGTAAATCGCAATCTTATCTATCTGAATCATAAAATTGTTAACCCAATATATAGAATTGATTATTAAGATTATCAATTCAGTGCATATTTCTTGGTTTTAGCATGTAAATGGATATTTGACTTTAAATTAAGCATTTAACCCATTCAGCCAGAATGTGCCCCTACTTTTTTTCACTTGTCTAACGCCAGGTTTTTAACATGTCTTAGAACCCTGTATACGTATATGTGCCTGTTTATGTGATAATGGCATGGCTGGACAGGAGGGTTTAATCCAGGTGCCGGTTGTTCAAAGGTGGATTAACGCTAGTTAACCCTAGGTTAAAATTTAACCTGCTGTTTTAGTTCGTGTATTTCTGCACGTCTGTTTATTTCAAAACTTCAGAGAAGAAAACTCCTATCAATCCAGACAAGATCTCTGAAGAAATATTTCCAAATTTATTGACAAGCTGTCAGGAAGTTTGCTTTGAATTTTAGGTTAACCTACGGTTTAGCTAACCCAGCTTTGAACAACTGGCCCCAGGATGGTGTGTTTATATAGACGGAATACACCCCGCCTGACAGGGATGATAGAGTGCTTGTATGAGAATTTCTTGTGCTGGCAAGTGTGATCCCGGCAACAAATAATGAGATCCTGTCTAGACCAGAAAGAAGTAGAATAATTCACTTTACTGTAAACAGTCGATAGAGTTCATATTGTAAGCTGGATCATGCCAAATGTCTAGCCTGGGATCATATTAAATAGGCCTTTAAAGCAATTTATAATTAAATGGGTCTAAATGACTGTATATTTACTTCAGACTTTATAGTGTAAAAACAGTCTAAGCTTCCAACAGCATAAAACTACTGAACTATTAACTATGGTAGTATTCTTTTTACATGTGCATCCAAAGTTACAGTAGATTGAATTATTTTAAAAAAACCATTAATAAATTAGGCACCAGCAGTCCAGCACTCTCCACTTAGCCATGATGAGTAAAATTGTCTGACGCTAGACAGAGAACAATAATCTAGAGCTTGGCGCCGGAGTTGGAAAACTCCGGCAGACAAAATTAAGAAAAATTATTTCATATTTCAACGAACATTTTGGATTAAATGGGAAAATTAAGTGTTGTTGTTTACTAATATATTACTATTTATATGTTGTTTTACTATATATTACTATGTGGTTTACTATTAATAGTGTTTTAAAAAGGTTTTTAAAAAAGATAAATTCTGAGATTACACTGAA